TGGAACTGTTGGAAGAGAGTCCAGAAGATGCTTCCAATAAATTAATTTGACTAACTTCCTGATCTGCTAGTCTTCGAACTGTTCAGCGATTTATCTGCACTTTACTGACCCTGGAAAACGAAGGGAGAAGTGACTCCGGACTCTGGTCAGAATCCACAAATGTGTTACAAAACAGGCAGGCAGTTATTGATTCGCTCTAATCGGTAATTGATGGCCATATGATCGATTTGGGTTCGTAGCTCTGACGTTTTTGGAGGACGCGTCACCCGCTTCTGCTCGAATAACATTCTCAGCGGCTAGGTCATTCCTCAAACAGAGATCTTTAGTTTTCCCCCTACCTTATGTGTCATGCAGTCTACACGAGGTTGACTCTACCTCATACTAAAGTTGATGTGCGGACTGAGTTCATTCAGATAGTTGTAATACTCACTAACCTTGTCTCGTTTCATCACGGTGAAAGTGCCGTCTACATAACGCCAGAATACCTTTGGTGGGTGAGAATCCAGTTAACTCTCTGTTCAGATTTTCCCATAAATATACTTGCCGAAACCGGGGATAATGGAGATCCCGTTGCTAGACCTTGGTCTTGAGTGTAAACCACTGAGTCAAGAACGAAGCGGGTGAGATTCAGACATGCTTTCATACCTTTCGCTATTTCATCTACCGTGAGCTGCGTCCGTTCTGAAAGAGTGGTGTCCGCTAATAGCAGTCGCTTGGCTATTTCTAAGGAGTCCCCTTTTGGAACATTTGTATATGACGAATAGACATCGAAACTTACAAGGATGTCATCTGGTTCAACGGTGACACCCGCTACTTTGTTGGCAAAGGCATATGAATCCTTAACGTAAGTACTACATTTCCCGGTTAGGGGTTTTAAAATGCCGGCCAAGAATATGGCCAGCTCATGCGGTGGGGAACCTACTCCGTCTACTATCGGTCTCACTGGGACTGGTTGATAGATTTTTGGTAGACCATTAAGCCGCGGTCGGATTGCACTTTTGGGGTACAATCGATACCAATTACCTTGCCCCAAGTGGTTTATCACGGACCGCAAATATCTGCCAACCTCAGCTTTACTCCTGTTTATTATAGATTTAATGTTCGCATTATCGATCTGGCGGTAAGGACCCATAGCTAGGTGTTGCTTGACTTTCTGTAGATAATCACTCTTGTTCATGACAATAGCGGCCTTACCCTTGCTTGCCTTTGTAATCACTATGTTGTCCACCTGTTTTAGAGTGTTTAAAGCTCTTCGCTCTGTTGGTGTAATATTTGGAGCTCCTGGCTGCTGGGGATTAAGGACTGTGATCAGCTGTACCCGTAGCTTCGCCTCCGTTGGTGGAAGTTTTTGAAACACAGATTCAACGCTAGAGATTATTTCTTCCGCCCTTCTCATCCTTTTCCTTACTGTAAAATTCAACCTTTCCCTAATAGGCAACGCTGTTCCTCATTTAGTGGTCTGCTTGATAATTTTACCACGCTACAATAGCTAGTAGGGGGCTTAGGCTTAGCAACGAACTCACTAGAATTCCGAGTTTTAGAAATTAACCTTTCGGACTTACGGATTCCTCTCTTTGCAGTGTTGTCTTTGGATGGCTTTGACTTCTGTCGCTTTGGTTTTGAGTCTGAGGGCGAGAGCACGTTTTGAAGATATTGGCTGAACCGACATGCGTTGTGACGGATATCAGATAAACGCTGATTAGCCAAGTATATCCTCTGTTTGAGGAATGACTTGGCCGCTGAGAATACTGTTCGGGCAGAAGCGAGTGGCGCGTCCGGCAGCTTAACCAGTAAAGATGTGGGGATTGTTTTGTGCTTCAAGCATCTTTTATTGAATATGCGGTGGTTCTCCTAGTTTGCCTCCAGCCTTGTCACTCGAACGTAGTCACTTGACAATTAGCGAACACATGGTCCGTAGTTGTTTTCAATCAATTGAAGAAAGTTTGGAATCGATTGAAAAGTCATCGTTTCGGAAGGGCTTACTAAACAGTCGGTAGGTTTTATTTGGCCAACATTTCGCTTCATCAGGCCAAGTGAGCAGTTCGGGGTAAACTAAGGACCATAGTGTACGAGAAGCCAACCGACACGAGCAGTTTTGAACTACTCGTCTGCCTATCCGAGGTCGGTATTCGCCAGTATTGCCTCATCAATGCTTAGGCGTGTAAGGGCCCTGTGCACAGAAGAAGCTGATCGGACAGCCCACCGCAACCAGAAGTGGTTCCTTTGAGATCACTCGAGTAGTCCAACCGTTAAGGAGCGTATTACTATGCCCTTTCCACCCCCCAAACAGGAGAGTCAGACAACTGTTTGTCAGACCTCAATCCATTGACCAACCTGGTAAGAGAGATACTGTGGCTGCTGCACGAGCATTTTGCTGTACACCTCAGTGAGTTACCGAGATACGCAGACCGTCAAGGTTCATTCTATAAGTGACGGATCAACATCGTAGAAGACCCCAACATAAAGTTAATTTATTAGGTACTAACCTGGGAGGTCCTACGCTGTATTCACATACTTTCTATTTAGCTCTTCATGTGGTAAGGAACCTTGATTTCTTTGTGGGGCAAAAACACGTCTCCAGGCAACTGGCAACCCTGTATTTTCTCCACGAACAGATTAGATAACAGTTATGCACCGAGTGTTCAGCTGGAATCTGCAACTCTCTTCAATGGGCGAAACGGGGTGCAGACTGCATGGATAGACTACTACAATGGTTTAGTTGCTGGAGTTCTTCCTCGTATTGAGGTTTACTGTAGAGATTATACTGTTCCCTGAGTGATTTGCGCCTCACCTTCTAGTGATTAAATATCCTCATGGTTTGAACAAGAACAACCTGACGAATATTAATGTTTTCAGTATCTCATCATTAGGTCAGTACATATCTAATGGTTAAAATAGGAGTAAAAATTGAAATACGCGGAGATTGGTTAGTGAAATGAAAAAAACGTGGAAAAACGGACGATAGTGTTCCGGCAAGAAAGGTGTTTACGTGTTCTGTTGGAATGTTGAGCACGCTTGCCACATTGAAATAGTTACCAGAATATTTATGACTACTTATTGGTCATAGATGGTGATACATGGAATAGTTATGAGTACATTGTAGCAACCAGAAGTGATTTCCGATACGCCACTGGCCCACTAACGAGTGTAAATTCTATTTAAAATATGCCAATTGTGTTGCAAAATGACATTCCGATTGCCACTAGTTCTACGGGTGGTTTTTTGATTGCTCTAGAAGGACTCGATGGGGGAGATTACTCAGTGGTTATCACTGACCACGTTATCACCGACCATGGTGATAACGTGAAGGGAAACTAGTGGCTGGTTCCCCGTCTGCCTTAAAACCTGGCCAACTTGGTGACCTGTTCACTTGGTCTGATGAAGCTTTTGTGTCAAAAGCGAAGCGTTGCTCAAATAAAAACTACCGACTGTTTACCAAGCCCTTCTGAAACGGAAACATGCTTACTTTCAGGGAAAATTTTTCGTTCGAGATCTTTGTCCATGACCCCAATTCATTAAACATCAGTGTGTCTTACTTACTACTCGATTGTTTGGTATACATTCCCCAAGACCACGTTTACTCACTCAGTTGATTGCGCCGATGGGCAAATTACACCCGGAGTCGGTGCTTGCAGGAGTGGATGAGTGGGAACGCTCAGGCCACCACCACTGGTGCTTGATGCGAGCAGACAATGCATGGGTGTTGCTTATTTTGTGAATGTTTAGATGCTTGACCTTTTAGACACAGGAACTACCGTTTTCAGGCCTCAGTGTCTGTAATGCTGATGCTCCCAAAACTTTTTCCGAACATCCTTGCATGTAATACCGTTACAGGGACCTCACCGTGATTGGTAATCTTAAACTTTTGACCGACCTTGATTTGGGATATTCCAGTTGATGTGTCACTTTTATTATGATCCGGACCTAAAGCTGCCACCTTGATGTGGTGTTCGCGCTTGTTCAGCGAGCATCCTGTGGGCTACACTAGCTTGGAATTCGTTCCACAAGGTGTAAGCATACCAGGAAGACCAGTCAGTTCAAGAGCAGCGAGACCCTGTACTACCGGTAATCGTGGGATGAGGCGCTCTGGGGTTAAAGTCGTACTGTTCTCTGCGATAGGATTGTGAAGGCACCAAGGTGTTTCCCCCAACTGATCAGTATGTCTATATTCATAGAAGCAGTCGTGCTGCCTTTCCCCGAGGAACGACAGGTTAGAAAAGGTCGGCCCCAAAAACCGCACCCTCCGATTGACCATCGGTTGTCCGTGACGGCCGGCGATTTATTCAATACAGTCGAATTACCTTTAAAACCAAAGAATCTTGAAAAGGCACGTGCTGTGCGCAGCCTCATCAGACTATTCGCCCTCGGTTTAGGTCAACCCTTGCAGCCGAGCAGGTCAGACTTTTGAGTCATGGTCCCCGAACAAACCCGCATATCCTCCCACTGCCTTGTGGGTCAGACCTGTGAATCGGAGGACAGGGATATGGTCCTTTGCACCCGAATTTGCTGCACGAGGCTGCCTCATTTTTCAGTTGTGACGATTTTCGAGATAACACATATATTATAAACATAATGCACTACTCGTAAAGCTGTTGAGAACTTTGTCACCTAGCCGAGACCCCATACTTTCTTAACTTTGATGTGTCTCTGCAGCACGCATACAAGACCCAAGCGTGGTTATGCATCTCAAAACACCAAGAACTAACTCATTCACCTCTTACATTTCACTCCGTGATCCAGAAGTGATGACCCGTGGCGTGGGAGTTACACTCAACCCTAGAGCTGGACGCGCTTTACTGCATTGGATCCCAGTGAACAATCGTCTCTGAACCGCCAGTTCACTGCCCCCGACATAGAAATCGGGCTTGTTCATAGTGTCAGCTTATGCCCCAACGGATGCTGAGGATACTCTTTATTGAGGTTAATCCGGACTCGTTCGCCAATCAAGAAGCACTGATATTGCGAATCTTGCGAGCGATATGAACGCCCATGTCGGTTGTCTGAACTCTGGCGGTCGATTCGGTGTCGATGTTCGCCGCACAGACAATGAAGAGCGTGTGCTGATCATGAACTGGAAATGGAGGAAAGGCTGAGCAACTTGCAACCACATTCGAGAGCCCGTAATCAGTTGGTGCTACTCCATCAAAGCTGACCTTCAAGCTACTCAAAAGACCTGGAATATGTTTGTACGTTTCTGACATAAACCAACCATAAATTTACCTTTCCCTTATTTGAAGGCCTGCAACTACAGCACTCCCGAAGCAGTTACAAAAAAGATTGAGTTTCCGCATTTTCAAGCGAACGTGGCTTTTACTTTATTTGCTGCGCCGAACAGAATTATAACGACACGTTTAATCACTAAAGGCGAAGAAAGCAAAAACATTTGATTCTGTAGATTGCCTGGATGCACGGGCAAGAACGAATCACACGCTGGAGGGACAAAAGCGGCAAGTGTGAGTCAGTTTCTCAGGTAGACTGAATGCACAGAGATTAAACGGGCGAATGAACTGGCAGACAGTGACTGGCTGTGTTAATCTTGGGGGATCGGTTTGTAGACGTGACAGGCTTGGTTGTGAATATTCCACTCAGATAAATCACCTGATTGAACCAGTTACTGTGACTGAGATGTAAGAAGTATCTCCAGGAGATATTGGTTCTCCTTTTTCAGTAGTACCTCTTCTGTCACTTGGTCCATTTGGTGGTGATACATCAAAACCAGCCAGCAACTTTTCCACACCGTTGATCCGGAATGCGCATGACGCGGACAAGCAAAAGTATATATTGTTCATAAATCCCTCTTAAGTGCGAGCGAAGAAACTGCAAAACATCGACTTCGCAAAGAAGTACCTTTCTCTCTTCTTTCGGGTGAAAAATTGGACTGAGCACGCATGGTCGCCGGCTAACCAATTATTTTGATTGGTTTTAATAATCCACAGGGCAACTCACTGATTACAGGTGTTAACGCCGCCGGAACTACTACCGTACTTATCAGAAACTCTGAACACCAAAAACCCATCTTGGGTGTGAAGAGACGGAACTTGCTTACATTGAGCAAAAGCGGTTGAGGGATACACGTGATGAGTCCACTTAGGAACAGTCCAATAAAGCCCAATCAAATCAGGTAACTTCAACATATTCCTTTCGTGCGTTCCAGCCATGCTTGCGGAAGGCTTAACCAGGTGGAATTCAAGCAAATAGGGGGAAGTAACTGGCTGCGAACAAACAAACAACCCCCTTGCAGAAGTAGTTCGGTTTTATCGGTCTTGCGAAACTAAACTGGTTTTTCGCTGCTGCAGATGTGGCAAGAGGTGAGTCATCGAACATGGTGGACTGTACGTTCGTTGATGGTCAACACCTCGGGCCACAACATCATCATTTAAGGAAAGAAAAAACATAACGGTTGAGCCCTAGAATGCAACACATTTGCTGGTGCGTACATTGAGATGAAGCTTTTGTGGTACTACACCATTTCACATTTGAATATGAAGAGAGCATCAAGGCAAAAAACACGACTATAAAGTTAAAAGCACAGAAAGAGCAAAACACGCAGGCTCCGGAAGAGTACAAACAGATGGACCAGAAACACGAACAAACCGGTGGAAGGATCGGAAGTTTAGTGGAGCAAATGATCCAGCTCTCCGCGCAGTACAGCTAGGGCTGCCGCAGCCTCGCTCTCCCAAGGTTGAATACCTTGTGACAACAGCTCTTCTACCTCGTCATCTGTAAATCCACAGTTAAAATCCATACTGGCATGAAAACTCGGTGGATTGAAGGCGTTTGCAGCTCTTGATGGCGGGGCGTTTGATGCGTTAGCGAAACGGTTAGCTCTATTTGGTCCAGCCCTGTTTCCGCTATTGTATCCATTGGTACTGTGCCCATAACCTGTTGCACGTGTTGCCCTTAAGTTTACAGGATACCTCAGAGTCTCATTAGAGCAGCGCGCGTTGGAATTGTGTCCTGGTGAGCTAAATCCCTTAGACAATGGGTATCCGTATGCTGATGCACTACTGTAAGAGCGCCTGCATTCCACGCGTCGGCCACCGTCATCACCTCGCGCTGAAGTGGAAAGAAGTTTGCTTGCTACACTATTTGTATTGTTAGAATCCATGATACCACCCTGCAGTTCACGCTGGTCTCCAGCATTATTGGTTTCCGAAGCGGGGGTGGGAGTAACAGGTTCACTAGGTGCTATTAGATTGTCACCCGACGCACGCGCATTGTCTATACTCTCCATCGCAGTTTGAGACCCTTCGTCTGATGAGGCCATCTGAGAGTCCCCATCTCCCAAAGGACCAACACAGTTAGAATCTCCTTCTTGGGGTCCTTGTGTGCCCTTGATCTCCGATTGTGAGGGGGGATGAACACCCACTGATTCGATGCTTCCCTCGGATGAAATGTTTCTTGTTGACAGGATTTGAGACGACGTATCCGTCTTAATTTCTAAAACTCTCTGAGACGTTTGTGTAGTCACAGCAGGTGTAGTGTTCATACGATTTGGCACGGCGTAAGCGAGTGAATTTGAGGTTGTTGATGTCAGTGGTGCAGTCAAAGTGCCTCTATTTGGATGCCCTCCAGTACTAACACTAGTACCTACGCCACCGAGACCCAGATTCGCCTTTCTCAACATCTGTCGATTAAGTTGTTCAATCTTCCTCATCATTTCACGCTGTTGCAATCGCCATGGACTACTTAAAGGAGCGAGCCATTGCATCATCGCCGCAGCTGTAACCGCCGCGGCTTCCATTTCTTCCTCCATTGTGTGCTGGTCAGCCAAAAGGTTGCGCAGATCAATTCGAAGTTTCGCAGGACTGAATAGCCCGAGATCATAACCTAGGTAGACAAAAATCCACTTGCAAGTACGTATGACTTAACTGAAAACATCGTTGAACAGTAAAACACATTATGGGGCAAGTGATAGGAATACTTCGTTTGTTGTTTCCTACAGAAACTATTGTCGACTATTCGACTCCATGGGCCCCATAGCACTTGTCTCTAGTATGGCGACTTTGTATTACTGCTCTCTTACCGTGGGGTTTACTTCATGTACGTGAGTGATTTGAGGATTTTGTTCCCTCTGATTCCGTATATCCCAGTTAAGTAATAGAAAATACTTCTGTAAGACCTATTCCATTTCGAGGAAACAGGCTGTCTCTATACGCACTCCCCGCCGACCTATTGTAGCTTCAACTTGCTCACGACTGATGAGGATTCAGTAATTTACCCCGATTATTGTTCAACTTACATCCTTCTTGTCTGGTAGGTATGGGTCCGTTTTGAAGCGAATGAGTAACTACAAATTTGATCGTCTTTGAATATAACATCAGTGAGTTACGTATGAGTGAGGGCCCTCTAGTTACAGAGGCCTTTCAATCTTCAGTACCGACGGAGCTGCTACAAATATGTTGCTTCTTTTATTTTTCCGAGCTCTGAAAGTAGAACGCTTTTCTATTCAAGGTCTGTTTCTATAACTTTATGAGGGTGGATACAATGAGCAACATTTCATTAGGCTCGCTACCCAGAGCCAATTCACTATTTCAGGTTTTTATCACTACCAACTGTAAACGTTTATGACTGAACTTGGTAGTGCCAGCCAGGATGTTCGTCATCCTTCTTATATAGTTATTTTTATTCACCAAGTCACTTCCAGGCCTTCCATCCGAATGGTTGATCACCGTGTCTTCTTTTCATAAAGGGAACTATTCACAAGGTTGCTGAAAACTATTCAACATCCAAGGACCGGTTTCGCTCTTCCACTTCGGGCTCATCAGGTAGGCGCAGTCCCCGAGTTTCCGTCAACCTTATGATCTACTTGAACCCAAATTGCACTGTTTTCGAGAAATACACTCATTTACAGATCAATTTGGTTTTCACGAGAGACTCAACTGAATCTCTCTTTTATGGTATTCTACAACTGAAAAGGTTCGAACTGCCGCTGACGATTGAGTCCAACGGTTAAATAACTGCCACAAATAGTGAGCATATTTCGGTTGGTGGGTGCTTCATCAAAGACACCTTGGCTAAATAAAGCCCCAGAGACTATAGATGTGTGGTTAGTACACCTAATACTTTTTGAGTCCATCAGGCAGAAGAGCCCTTTAAGATGTCTGCATATCCGAGGTCACCTCGTACTACTGTCCAAAGGATCGGCCGATATGGTTTCAGTTGTAGGTGGTTGCAGGATCTGTAGAATCCACATCCAATCCACCCTTGTTTGGACAATCATTCTTTTGACTTGATGTAATTACCCTAATGGGTCCACACATATCACACTCTTCTGGCTGGTGGGAGATAACGGACGATCCGAGGCGTTCGAGAAATCGCTATTCTGGTAAGTTCACAGTACAAGAATAGTCATTTCAAAATGGCANGAACTCTTATAGTCGAAAAACGGATAACAAAAGAATATAAACTTTTCTCAAAGGGTTACGCATTCGGAAAACACACACTAGATGGGTTTGTTGCGAAGACATCTGCATTCGAAAGTAGCTGGGCGCTGTTGTTCCCCAAAGTATCTTACCCGGGAATAAACAGAGACATCCTATATCATTATGTAGGGTAATATATCGTGCTGGTGTTTTCCCGATCTTTTGTGTGCCCGACTCTCGTAACCCCTGAAGACGGCGTTTTTTCAGCCCAGTGCCTACTCTATCTCTGTACCGGAACACGGAGAGAGGAGAAGGGAATAAAGAGGTAAAGAAAAAAGAAAAACAAAAGTGGTTCTTTCGGTTTTCCACTCTTCCTTCTTTTTAATATACAGTTCTTGTTTGATTGTCACCCAGCCTTCATACAAAGTGTTATAAGAAAAAAAACTAGGAGAGAAAGAAATAGGAGAGCAATGAGAGGGTAGGTGAGAAAAGAACGGAGACAAAAGACGGCGAGAGCTATGAATAAGGGGGAATGGAAACAAAGTTGGTAACTAATTGAATGCATGTATTTCAACCCCTTTGATAGACTGTCTACCGAAGCCTGGGAAGAGCCCTTCCTGGACAAGAGTCTCGTCAAAGCTCTGGTAACAGCCGTAACATCTTTAACCATTCTGCTTCTGATGACCCTCTCGTGGAATAAGTGGTCGCACGGGCTTACCTCTTCCTTCCGGGCTTTTGTCATCATGCCTAATGAACGGGTCTGTGTTTATTCTCTTGCAGAAGGCTATACAATCCAGTAGACGCTTTAAACATACATTAGTTTAGCCTGATCAATAGTGTCCTAAATGGCAATGTGTTGGAATATTGGCAGCTCGGGTTCAGTAATTGGTAATCGATCAGGTGGCTGTTGATCTGTTTGCCAAGCTTGGCAACTGATTTGCAAACGTTTCGTTACCGTTTGAGGAGACATCTCCAGTGCGCACTGGAAATTTCCCCTCGAATGGTGATGGAACGCTGGCGAATCAATTGCAAAGCTCGACGAACAGATCGAAAGCCGCTTGATCAATTACCTATGTCTTAAGTAGTGGAAATTTGCGGAGGCTGGAGTGCAATTCACTCTAGGTGGATTCTCTGCAAACTGTATCCTATCTGATCCTTTTGAACACTCAATAATAAAGATAATAGCAAATAATGACTCAGTTGTTTGCAGTTTTATAGGTTTCCAACAAACTTGAGGCAATATCTGCACGCTCGATTTTGGAAGTATTGGAGGATTACCGACAAGGCACTAGCACTATTTAAATAAACTTGTGATCATAGTAGCGATTGAAAGGACTCTGTAGAAGCTTAAGCCTCATCTAGAAGGGCTAACTGACTGTGCTGTCTGAAAAACCCTAACCCCAACAGGACATAAGCGTGAGCTGATTTACTGTTGCTGGAGTTCTTCGAAGGGGACGTGTGCCTCTGGGAATTGCGAAAGAGACTAAATCCTTAACCATGTGAGAAAAACCTTGCCAACTGCATACATCAGAATGAGCCAACCTATGCTGACCTGCTGCTTCCAGATCGTTGACTTATTTTTCTAACATTATCGAAAGCACACCCACACATATTGCTACTATTCAGTGTGACATATAAGGTACAAGAAGGATGAACTCACCCGCCATAAGTCCGGCAACACTATCCATCCAGTCCAAGTGGATCTTCTTCTCCCACCGTTGTACTTTACTGCCTTTTGCTTTGTCAGCCATGTGCTGGAACAGTGACCATGGTTTTTCGAAAATAAGTATGCACGACTTGCACCAGTACATTTGACCGGGCTCTAGTGCTGCTTTAGTTTTTACATATTTCACATGGTCTCCCTCTTTATCCAGAAAGCACTCCAAATAATGATCCTTCAGCAAAGTGCAATAACTTTCGTTACTTCTCCGTTCAAGGATTCGTCTGCAAGAACCTGCAACAAAAAATTTTTCAAGAGGAAAACTGCTGTAACTCGGGTCCCGCTGATTGCAGTTTGGGACTTGCCACATGAAAACAGGCTTAAATTTGCATCCGGTAAGGCTCCGCTAACTTTTTGTCAGTAGAACTTAACCCAAAGAGTTTATCGTGTAAGTTCAAACTGAACTAAGTCGAGTTCAACTCCGTACGAAGCGTTCTACTCGTTTGTGATGGTTCATCCCATAGAATTTATCGCTATCGTTTTCCACGCCTGAACCCTTTATGACATGTAGTAGAATTCAACCCCTACTTCATCTATTTTTATTAAAAATGAGAGACATGTGTATTAATTGTTGCCTTGCAAGTTTTACATTTTCCCACCAGGCAACGGAATTTTCGAACACTGTTAACGTGGATTTTTAAAAAATAGGGCGTTTCTCATGTCATCCTTCCTGACGATGATGCCACTCATAGGTTTGCCCTTCATTAGACCTTGACCGGTTTCATCCCTCTTCGTTCCGCTCATCGGGTAAGCGCAATTACCCATACCTGCCAAAATTATATTTGATTGTCCGATCGTGAACTGAAGGAGATCTTTAACATTGTCTTTATCGGCCAGATTCTGTGAGCTATTTTCAAGGACCATCACTTTTTTTTACACAAAACATATGCTCTGAGAAATACATCCATTGGCCCACCAATTTGACTTTAGCAGGTGGCTTAGCTGAATCCAGTTGATTCTTTAGTTTATGACTATAGTAGAAACCTATGCAACTATTCCTTCAGTTCCGCCAAAGATAAACTACCAAGTTTCATCATTCTAGTCTTACAGTTTTAAGCACATTTTGGAGGTCAACATCAGACCTCATGAGACGCGAAAAACGTTTGAGGACATTTCAGTCACGTTGGATACCTGTGGAACGAATCATAACCAATTCTAGCAGACCTACCCAACTACCCGGCATAACTTCACTTCACACTGTCTACACCAATTTCCACTGTAGGCAAAATCCCGACCAGACCAGGCATTCGGTCATATGTTCATGTGGTCTTCGCTAGGGAGGTTGTGTGGCCACTGTCGTAATCTAATAGTGCACCTAATCTAGGCTCCTGTAAAGTTCTCTCTAAGGCATCGATACAAGGATCTTACATTCATGTCACTCTCATTTGAAGTTAGTCTGCTGTTCTAGCCTGACCATTCTGATCTTGATGCGGTGTCTCACACTTTAGAAAGCTTTTGAAAGATGCTGTCAGCGTGGAGCAAGATTTCCTTGTTAGATTCCAGTATTTATTTGTGGAAGACGACAGGATAAATTCAACTAAAACGCTTGAACGGTTTAAGTATGAATAACCTCGGTGAACGTTTGGTTTACGAAATGGCAACATGTTTTTGCAATCGGCTTAACAAATCAAGCTGTACTAAGTAAGGGAATAGAGAATGCCCGTGGAAGTCATAAGCAAAAAAGCGTAGTTAACACAAGAGTCATCACCAGAGTAAAAAGGTCTCGGATTTGCAAGAAAACAGTGCTATCACCTGCAGAGTTTTAACTTGGAAAAATGGGATGATTGGAGGCCAATGCGGAGATGCGCACCGCTGATGACTAGCAATAAGCGTGAAACAGCCGTGCAACGCTTCAGTATAGATTGGCTTCATTAATTCGACGAAATCTCAGTCGAATTACTTTAACTTGTTTGATAGCTGCATTGGATGAAGCAAGTCGGACAAGCTGATCGCTACATGCGCATATTTAGACTCTGGAATATCCGTTGCCAATCCCGTGTGACATAAAAGCACAGTGGTCATTATGGTCTGTTCGAAGTGAACGAAAGAGCGGTCTCGGCGGAAAAGGTAGAATCGAAGTTTTCATCCACATGGAACAGACAACACTTTACAAACTTAATTATTATGGTTGCCAAACCTCGAGGGTCTTCGCTGCTTCTGAACTGTCACATATCTCGACGGGCAAACACAAACAGCCCAGTGAAAGGCCAAGGTGATGGGAGCCCATTTCAGGCCGTAGGAATGATGCAGTTTACAAGGCTAGTCTGGTCACAAGTCATCACTGCTTCAGCTAAGCTTAATAGATGGTTGTTGCTTTGACAGTTTATGGCCCTTCTTGTTTCTTTGCATTCATTGCAATCCATTAAGTTGGCAGGGATGACGATTGGAGGATATTTTAACTAATGACATGTCAAATTCATTGAGCTGTGTTCAGAATTGATTGCAGATGACCGTCTCTTGGTTGAGATGACGTGTTTTCTACCGCTACCACTCAGAAGCAGGCAAACAAAGAGAAGCAGAAACTGCTGTTAGTCAATCTTAAGTCAGTCGAAGTATCCCAGACGTCGTTAGCACAACAACAGCATTTGGAAGAAGCACAGCGCTCTGCGTTAACAGATTTGAAGCGGCATCTCCTGGTGGGTTGTGTTTAGGAAATCGGATGCAAATGTCGCTCCTACTTATATGTACGACAGACTGCTAGATGTGACTTTCATCCAGACCCACTAGAACTCTGAGCGCTCGAATCGGAAACGGAAATGTCGGCACAGAATCCTCTATCTGATTTCGTGTTACTGAATCCATTGTCTGTTTATTTGGATTATGTTCCCACACAGACCACCGTGATGAATGAGCAGTACAGTTGGCCGATTCGTGTGCGAACGTGATAGCATGAAGCGATTGTCGGCAGCCAATCCATGCATCCATACGCTCAAAATCAGTGGTGACATATTTTGTGAAGTCTGAAAGATCGCGTCCGATTTATCCATGTGATAAAAACTGACAGAAGGCGTGCTACGATATGTTAACCTTTCCTTTGCTCTCTTCATCAGTGTACATGAAGCATGCAATGTATATAAACAGTGGAGCAACGTTGAACGGTCACTGGTTGGCTGCTCTCTGTGGGTCACTTGATCAGTCCCAGGGTAACTAATCGTGATTCAGCTTTCTTTGTACACATAGTCTGGTTTAATTTGATCACCAGCTCTTCGATCATAGCTAGGACCTTGGGGTTTGTGTTTCGCAGTAGGATTCGAAAGGAGTTGACCTAGTCAATCTAATGGCCATTATCTAACAGATGTTTATCTAATTATGATGTACCATTGTCAGTCGTTCGTTGACTCGATGGTTTTCCTGACAGCATACGTACTCTGTAATGTGTTCTCTCACATGTTCCGCCAGGCGTCTTATCCTCTCTAAGTAATTCTCTCCGAGTCTACAGCAGAACCAATAAGCCACATGAGAGGCAGATAGAGTGGATAGCCTCGACTCACGGTCATTCGGGACCAATCCTCTGTTGAAAATTATGAGAAGTATCTGGGCTGCAGTATGAAAAAATCCTAACGCGTAACTTGGCTTGCGTCGTACGCTGGTGCTGGCATGGTCGCCTGTGAACTGAAGAAACGAGTGAAAACAAGGATAAGCAACTAAAGGAACAACTCGCAATTGTGGATCGAAATAGCTAGACATCTTTTAGCTACTGGCCATCGGACTGACTTGGTCAATCCAAGGATTCCAGTGATAGGCCAAGCGCTGCTGATCAAATCAAACCAGCCTAAAAAAATTCGGTTGGAGCAAACTGTTTAATTACCCTGGCAACGTTCAGGCGACCTCCAGAAATCAGATAACCAATACCCGTCTTGCATTTCTTCCACTGCTTATCTATATAGCTTACATGTTTTTCGCCCACCAGTGACACCTAGACATAGTCGGCCCGCTGCCGGTATCCAACGGTTTTTCCTACCTTCTCGCATGTGCCGATCGCTTTACACGGTGGCCTCAAGCCATCCCCATTTGCGATATTTCTACCGAGATATCGCTGGAGCATTTTTAAATGGTTGTATTACCAATTTCGGGGTCCCTTCTTTTATAACAACTGACCGCGGATCGCAATTTGAATCACAACTATTCCATTGAATTTCATTGAATTACTCGGATGCAAACGCATTCTCACCATTGCCTATCACCCTCAAACAAACGGTCTAGTTTAACGATTTCACCGACATTTGAAGGCCGCTTTGCGAGCACAAAACAGTTCATCTAAATGGTCTGGTAAACTACCACTGATCTTGCTACATTTACGCAAAATGTTCCATCAATCCTTGAACTGTTCGCCATCAGAACTGGCACAACATTACGGGCACCTGGTCAGCTCGGATAATGAAACTATCCCTGATTCATCCACTCATACAACTAACTTCAAAACGCACATTCTCTACGTTATTCCTAACCTCCAAAACAGAATAAATCTTTTTATGTTCCTCCAGGCCTATTACCTATTCTCATGTTTTCGTTCGTTCTGGTCGTGTTAAACCACCCCTACTACTTCCATATACTGGTCCTTTCCGTGTTCTTTTGCTGAACGACAATTATTTTACTGTTCACTTACATGATAAGCAGTAAACATTTGCATTGATCACTTAAAATCTACCTATTTAGACTCTCTTGAATCAAGTGTCCTTGACGGTCCACAACGCAAAGTTCCCATCTAAAATGCTGCACGCCCATCTCCATTACCTACAAGCGAACGACCTGTACAACCTCACTGCATCGCTCGTCCTGGCAGACACGTACACTGGCCGGACCGTTTCATCGCAAGTTGATATGAACTACTTTCTTTTAGATAGGGGGAGAGTATTTGTAGTGGTTGTCCAAGCTGATTGGTGCATCCGCATCCAGTCTCCCTCGTGCTTGGTTTTGTTCCACACGCCACAACGTGCACCACGGCAAAATACGTGACCGGTCCGCAGCCTTTGACCGATGTGAGTTCAAGTCCAGTCTAGTACGCATCGAAAAGACACTATGTGATTTCATATTGTGTTTTCACCTAGCACGTTCGCCCAACCCACTGATTATCCGGGCGTAAAAACACCGCACGCACACGTCAGAGAACGACAATCAAACTGCACCGCAACTTTGGCACACCAATCTACGGACAACCAGGAAACGTGTAGCAGCGAATCTGCCAAAAGAAACACGACTACCTGCGTCCAAACGAACTCTTAGGAACTATTACA